GAGAAAAAAGGGGAGAAGAGAAAAAAGGGGAGAAGAGAAAAAAGGGGAAGTTCTGAGTTATTTCTGAGTTGCATCGTATTGTGCAATTAAATAATGACAAAAAATATATATAACTGTAAATAGACTAAGAACCCAAGTATCCAGTGTTCAACTGTTCATTCCAACATAGAAGTTTGTGTATGAAGAACTGAGCCAAAATAAACTCCCAAACAAATGCACCTGTTTCAACAGAGCCTTCAGCCAACCATTCCAAACATTCCCTTGAACATAATAATTAGAGTTTAGGAATGAATGTGTTTCCTGGAGTTAATTTGCAAGCATATAGGTCTGTTCTTCAGTCTTTACATTAAACATCTGCTATTTAAACTCAGGGAACATGGCCAATAACTCATATCACCGAAGCCTTTTCACTGCAGTTAATTGCCATCTATGCAAAGATCAAACTTTATATATTAATTAAATATAAATTATGGAACTTGCCATAACCCACTGTCCATTTCATAGATCCAGAGCTCATCATTAGGCAGATAAACTTCATTTTCTTCAATTGACTGAAATGGAAGAGAAATGTGCAAATGTTAAATCAATTATGCCTTACACACCATACATTTTAAGATGAAATGCCAAATCAGGTTACTTAGCAACACAGAATAATCTTAAGGAAATAATCTACCAGAGCACAAGTCATTACTGCTCTGATCATCCCAATTTTAAAACTAATTTATTTTAAAAATAAAGACCTTAATTCCTCACGACCACTTATTAAAGGCACAGATTGACCAGCTTAACGTTTTGCCAAAAAAGATGTGTAACAACATAAACCAGATTTGGAGGTCCTGAATTAAAACTCATTATCTTTTGTTTTGGGAGATACTTCTAATTAGGAGGCAATTCTTGGCATAACGGAGAAGTGTAGAATAAAAAATAGAATGTAAAAAGTGGAACTGAAAGGCACCAAAAGTTACTTGCAGGGGCTGAAAGAAGGAACTTGAAAGAACAAAATCTCAAATATAAAGGAGAAAATTAATTTCTCTGCGTACAAAAACAAAGACTCCTCAACAGAGGTCATTAACAAAGAAAAAACAACTTAGGAAATGATGATGAGGAAGAACAACAAACAGGAGAAGGAAGCCCAAAAGCATTCAGTGCTCATGCTGAGTAACAACTACACCATTAATTATTGCCTTGGCATTAGAAAGAAATTAAAGACTGGGAGGGAAGAAGCAGCCAGAGCCAGTAAATAAACAAATAAATCAAAATTGGATCAAAATTAAAGGAGTGTGAAGAAGTTAAACACAAAACTGAAATTTAATTCTCAACCATTTGGTTACTGATAGTGATCACTCGCCTTCAAATGATACTTTATTATGACTTTCTGAGTTTGAAAGGTGCCAACCAGGCAGGTACATCCTATTTTTGGCACATTTACCCTGCCAGTTCCCTTTCCTTGGGAAGGCTCTGCTGTTCCACACTCCTGGCAGCTTCTGCAACGTGCAGAAGTTGACTCAATTTAATCTGGGTATGTCAGAGGTCGAGCATTTGCTCCAGAACCAGCTCTGAGCAAATGCACTGAGGCCAAAAATAAGTTTGCTGGGCAGCAGCGCACCAACAACATGTTAAAAATGATTTAGCTGTGTAAAGTGCTGCTTAAAGAGCAAGGATTTTCATAATATTCTCAACAAAATATATGTAATATTACTAAAAACATTTGCAAATTTTATCTGCTAAACTTAACACACATTGTCTGTTTTGAATGTGCCACAAACCCACAATTTTTTACAAGAAAACCTTTGAAAACATTGTGCTCACCAGTCCACCCTCAGTTTTAAAGACCAGAGCACATAAAACTAACAAGAATTACCAGTGATTTAAGTGATATATAGTTATTCAGAGTATTACAAAGTTTAAATTCAGGAGCTCCCAACTAGAATTCTTGAGTATGGTAGGACAAGCTTTGCACATTTGAAAGTTGCCCACGAAAAATATAGGTAGAATATTAAATATGTTAATAGAAATACAGTTTCCACCTGATCAAGACAATAACACAAAGCACAGGTATTTTCACATTTTATGGCCAATGTGCACTGTAAATAAAATGAGGTGGCTGTATTTAATGTAGTATCGTTCACAGCTCTCGTTAGGGTGAATTCATAGAGCTAAAAGACAAGGATTTACTTATGGCAGAACCGGAACTGATCTTCCAATGAAAAACAAATAAAAGATGTGGGGGTTTTGCCGGCCACCAGCTTGAGGCGACCGTCACTTTGAGGTGACTTTCTGAGGGAGGAAAACACGCTGTATACACAATTACTAATAAACAAAAACATTGCGGGGACACTCGGGAACAAGAACGCGAATTACACACCGGAAAAAAACCCCGCCGCAAATTACAGCCGTCACCCCGCTGAGGGACACGCGAGTCACCCTCGGAGCGCCGCGGAACCGCGCGCCCGGGGGGGGAGAGGAGAGGAGAGGAGAGGAGGCGAACCGGCTCCACCGGCCCTTCCCCGCACGTGGCGGGTGACGGGGGCGGCTGAAGGCGAGGGGGGGAAGGAGGACGCTGCCCACGGACACCGGGCGCGGGGAAAAGGGAGGAGGAGAGGGACGGGACGGGACGCCCCGAGCAGCCCCCGCGCTCCCCGCCCGTCCCCTCAGCGCCTCCCGCCGCCGCTCGAACGGCGCGCGGCCGCCGCGGCCAATCAGCGCCCGCCCAGCGCTGAGGGGGCGGCTGGGGGACCCCCCCCACACACACCCCCCCGTGCCCCGCCCGGGGCTCCCGGCGCCGCCGCCCCGCTCTCCCGGTCCCCCCCGCCCGGCCCCGCGATCCCCGCGACCCCCGCACGCCTTACCACGTATCCCCCCCACACGTAGAGAAAGTTCCCGTCCACCACGGCGCAGTGTCCGCTGCGCTCCTCGGCCACGCAGAACTGCTCCGCGGGGTCCGCCGCCATCTTAGGGGAGGAGGGCGAGCAGGAGGAGGAGGAGGAGGAGGAGGAGGAAGGGGAAGGGGAGGAAGCGGCCCGGCTGCTTCACGGCTCGGCTGCCTCACGGCTCGCGTCCCGCCACCGCCTCCTCCGGGAGAGGCTGCGGCTCCGGCGCCGGTCGCTCCCCTCAGGCGGACGGGAAGCGAGGAGGGTCCAAAGTGTGGGGCGGCACCCGCCGCTCAGCCCCGCCGCGGGTCCGGAGCGGGGCGGGCGGCGAGCGCGGCATCGGGGGCCGTGACAGGGCTAGGGCTTAATAAAGCCTCCGGGAGGATGTGAGTAAAGACCACGAGAGGAGGAAAAAGGCAGCGAGAACAGGAGGGCTAAACGTAAACCCAGAGTGAGAAGGGAAAGAAGAGCTGGATCTCGGCGTGAGTCAGGAGAGGGGGGAATGGCTTCGCACTGGCAGAGAGTAGGGTTAGATGGGATATTAGGAAGGAATTTTTGGCTGTGAGGGTGGGGAGGCCCTGGCACAGGTTGCCCAGAGAAGCCGTGGCTGCCCCTGGATCCCTGGAAGTGTCCAAGGCCAGGTTGTTCGGGGCTTGGAGCAGCTTGGGATAGTGGGAGAGGGTGGAACGGGATGAGTTTTTACGTCCCTTCCAACCCAAACCATTCCAGGATTCTGTAATAAGACAACCACAGCAGAACTCCCTGTCTCTCTGAAGGTGCAACAAGCTACACTCCTGCCGGAAATAGCACCTATGAAATAGTAGCTGTTATTAATGAAACAGTTGTACAGTAGTTCAAACACTGCCCTTCCAGTTCTTATGCTGTCACATCCACAACCCAGTGAATTCCTGCTGAACTGTGGAATTAATGGAATCCAAAATAAAACAGGTACAGTGCTTCAGAAAGAGGAGTAGAGTCGAGCTTGCGAGAAATTACTTCTTTAGCATCTTGTAAAAGGGCACCAAAACATTATTGTAAAGATTTTCTTGTGGAAGTGGGGTATGTACTTCCTCAGTTGGATCTAGGAGGGAAGACTAAACTGATAATATTAATCACAGAATCATAAAATGTCCTGAGTTGGAAGGAACCCACAAAGATCATTGAATCCAACCCTCAGCCCTACACAGGACCATCCTCAAGAGTCCCCCCCTGTGCCCCAGAGGATCATCCAAACACTCCTGGAGCTCTGGCAGCCTTGGGGCCGTGCCCACTGCCCTGGGGAGCCTGGGCAGTGCCAACCACCCTCTGGGGGAAGAACCTTTTCCTGAGATCCAACCTAAAACTCCCCTGACACAGCTCCAGCCCTTCCCTCAGGTCCTGTCACTGGTGATAGAGAGATCAGTGCCTGTCCCGAACTCTTAAAATGAAGCCATGTACTGACAGTGCATTGGGTGGTGGTTAAAATGCAAGAGTCAGCATTTGGAGTTAAGAAAAACGTGGATAACAGGGAAACTTATCCATAGATCAATAGGTCAGGTAGAGCTACAATGTGCTGTCTCAGGAGATGTGCACAGAGGTTTTGTGAGCAGTGACAGACATGAGAACAAGCTGTTTGTCGTGTTTGGTGTTACAAAATAATTCTATGGATCCAGGTAGATGTGCTGACTGATTGTGGACCATTGGGATCTCTCCACTGGGTCGCTGCTCTCCAGGACCTGTGATGTCCAACAAAGCCGTGGCAGGTGATGGAGACAAGGAGCTGGGAATGGCTTCCAGAGCTCCAGACAGATGGCTCAGTGAAACATAAGCCTGCAGCTCATGCTGGAATACTTTTACATCTCTGGTGGGAGGCTCCAGGCAACCTAAGAGAATCCCAAATACAGCAGGATGCTGTAGGAGTGTGCTTTATATTCCCCACTTGGTCAGAGCTTCAAAGAAAACTATTCCTGGGTGAGAGGCACATCCCTTCTCCAGGTGCACCTTCCTTCTTGAGGCGAGACATGAGCTGAACGGCACAATCAGGTTTTCTTAGAAGGAGAATAAGCAGTAATTTTAGCAAATGGAAGTACTTATGTAAGGATTGGGTTCGTAATTTGCACCCATCTGTGTGCCTGCGATGAAAAATAGATCATATTTCCTACCAAAATAGCTGAGACCTGTCAGATGGCAGCTTTTTGTCTGAAGAGAGTAGCTGCATCTTCACCTGTGAGCTCGCTCCCCGATGAGGAAGAGTGGTTATAAATTATGCAGTTGAGAATGGACTGTAAAAAATAGCTGTCTTTAAATCCCTGCAGACTTTTGAACAAGGAACTTTCTTTCAGTTGCTTTGTGAGCCTTCTGTGAGATCAAGCTGTACTTACTTTGAGAGACAGGGATGAGTGTTTGACTGAAACGTGTTTTTCATCTGGGGAGAAAGGAGCTGCCCTACAAGACTGGAACTGTGGCTGCCCCTGAATCCCTGGAAGTGTCCAAGGCCAGGTTGGATGGGGCTTGGAGCAACCTGGGCTAGTGGAAGGTGTCCCTGCCCGTGGCAGGGGGTGGCACTGGATGGGCTTTAAGGTCCCTTCCAACCCAAACCATCCTAATCCATGATTTCATGTAAAAACAGCCCTGGAGACCATCCTGTGCTTGTCGCCCAAGACAGACCCAGTGGAAGGGGTCTCTGGCCAATGTCTGATTAAAGGTGAGAACAGGAGAAAACAAGGCACCATCCCAGGAGCACAATTCACAGCTCGACGTATTTGATGGATGTTTTGTGGCAGGTAAATCTGAGGCTGGAGAGACTGGACAGGTAAATCTGGACTACTGGTGGTGCAGTGCAACCTGTGCTGGGCCTACAGGGAAAGAGGAGGGGGCAGCAGTGGTGTGAGCTTCTTCATCTGTAAGGCAACAAATAATAATACCGAGGGGAATTGCATTGAGTAACTTGTGTCAGCTGCAGCAAGTGTGTTTCACAGAAAAATGGAACGCTTTAGGTTGAAAAAACTAAGATCATCAAGTCATTCCCCCAGCACTGTCAAGGTCACCACTGACCCATGTCCCCAAGTGTCACATCCACATGGCTTTTAAATCCCTCCAGGGATGGGGACTCCGGCACTGCCCTGGGCAGCTGTGCCAGGGCTGCACAACCCTTTCCGTGAGGAAATTTTCCCCAGTATCCAATCTACCGGCACAACTTGAGGCCGTTCCCTCTCCTCCTGTCCCTTGTTCCCTGGCAGCAGAGCCCGACCCCCCCCGGCTCTCCCCTCCTGTCAGGGGGTTGCAGAGCCAGAAGGTCCCCCCTGAGCCTCCTTTGCTCCAGGCTGAGCCCCCCCAGCTCCCTCAGCCGCTCCTGGTGCTCCAGCCCCTTCCCCAGCTCCGTTCCCTTCCCTGGACACACTCCAGCCCCTCAGTGTCTCTCTCTGAGGGGCCCAGAACTGGACACGGCATTGGAGGTGCCTCAGCCCTGCCCGGCGCAGGGCTCGGTCCCTGCCCTGGCGCTGTGCCCACACCGCCCCTAAGACACCCCGCGGTCGCTCTCCCCGAGGCCCAGCGGGGCCGTCCCGCGGCTCCTCCCGTCGGGGCCGGGCCAGGGCGGCGGGGGCGGCCCCGGCGCGTTTGGCGCCAAGGCCGCCATGGAGCCGGAGCGGCTGCGGCGCCGCCTCAGCTCCGCGTTCCGCCTGCGGGGGCTCCTGCTGCGGCCGTGAGTACCCGCGGGCAGCCCCGGGGCCCGCTCCGGTGCCCGCTCCGCCCGCCGGGATCATCCCCCCGGCGGGGCTCAGGCCCGGGGGCCGGGGTTGTGGGATGGGGTCGGGGCGGCTCCGCACCCCCCGCGTCCCCTCCTCGGGGCGTGGTGATGCCTTTCCCCCCTTCTTCGTCTCCCTTCTGGAATCTCCTCCAAAGGCCTTGTTGTTTTGCCTTTCCTGCTGCTGTGGGCCTCTTCCGTGCCTCTGTCCCTGCCTCCCACCCGTGACCCGACCCACTGCGCCGTGGGTACCACCAAAGACCTGCCCGTGTTCCCCCTTGGAGCCCTCCCTGATGCCGGTGCTGGGTGTTTGGTTGGGTTGTGTTGTCTGATACTCTGCCTGACAACTCTGGGATCTCTTTCCCGAGTTGTGCTTTGCCAGTCCTGTGTTCAGCATCCCCTGCTAGAAGAAGAAATAGTACTTCCAAATGAGGAAACGGCATTCCCAAAGACAGAAATGGTATTTCCAAAGGAGAAAATGGCATTTCCAAAGGCAGGAATGGTATATTTCCAGATATTATAATGTGTATTATTTAGAGATGGCAAGTCAATTAAAAGTGGTTCCTGGTTGCAGTGGAAGGTGTCATGATTTATAGGACAGCCAGGGGCTCCATTGCTCCTATTTTCCCTTCCTGTTTCATATGTTAATATTAGTTCCATTTTGTTTCTGTTGTGGGTGGGATGTGATTATTTTGGACAGTGTCCTGGCACTTTCATTAGCAAGGAGTCCAAGTCCAGAACTCCCGACTCCAGGGTTCCATGGACCGAGACATTTTGAAGATCAGGCTGATAACCAAAACACCATGTTGGTTGGCCAGCAGATGACATTGATAAGAAAATTGTCATCTTTTAACTGCAAGACTGTAGTCTAAGGATAAGGGAAGAAACAGATTTCTAATTCCATGTGTTATTTAGAATTAAAATAATTCCGATCCCAGAGATACTGATAAACTGGAGAGGGTCCTGCAGGGTCTATGAAAGTGGTCATGGGTTGGAAGCTGTGGTGTGTAAGGGAAGTAGGAAGAGCAGTGCTGCATCCAGGTGTGGGGCTTCCAACATCACAAGGATGTGGAGCTGCTGGAGCAAGTCCAGAGGAGGCCATGGAGATGCTCCAAGGGCTGAAGTCCCTCTGCTCTGGAGCCAGGCTGGGAGAGCTGGGGGGGTTCACCTGGAGAAGAGAAGGCTCCAGGGAGACCTGAGAGCCCCTTGCAGGGCCTAAAGGGGCTCCAGGAGAGCTGGAGAAGGACTTTGGACAAGGGATGGAAGGACAGGACACAGGGAATGGCTCACTGGAGATACTCGAGGCTTGGCTCAATGGGGCCCTGCTTTCAGTAGGAGGTTGGACCAGATGGTCTCCAGAGGTCACTTCCAACATGAACTTAAATGTATGGAGCTGAAATTCTCCATATCCCCTTCTTGTGCTCGATGTTTTCAATCCCAATGAGTTTTTTCTTTGACTTAAAGTAGTGCACTATTACCAGTTCTAATTATCTCTACTTTTTTAAACCACAAGCTGTGTAGTGATGATGTGCACAGCTGCCAAAATCAGCACAGCTTGTACAAACTCTGGAATAATTATTGCTTTTTGTTCTTTCTCCACTGGAATTAGGGATGCTCTGAAGTATCTCACTGAAGCTTTTCAGTCCATCAGTGAAGTAGAACTTGACGATGCAATTGAAAATGTCATCGATGCCGTTGAAAAACAGCCACGTGAGTAAACAATTTCTTTTTCTTAGGCAAGTTTATCTGGCACTCAGGATGTTATTTAGACAAAGACAGAGTTAGTGGCAGCAAAGGCACTAAGGTGTCATTGTAGTATAACGGGTTGATTGAGATAAATGTGTTTGTTGACAGTTTGTTTTGTTAAATACTGAAGTTTGCAGTGTCACCAGAAGACATTTATGCCATTTAAAAAGTTGGCAGCCTGGTATGTTCCTGACTTTTCCAAAAGTGGTAAAATTTTTCAATGCCAGTTACTAAAAGTTTGTGTGGACATCTCTGTGCTTGAAACTATCATTTTAAATATTAAAATGGAGAGAGACTATTCACAAGAGCACGGAGTGACAGGACACGAGAGAATGGCTCCAAACTGAAAGAGAGTAGGTTTGGATTGGATATTGGGAAGAAA